CAAATAATTATTTCACCTTTCTGTGTAGCTAGCTGTTTTAATATTTATTTTGTTTTATGGTGGTTTCAGCACTTACAAGGTATGCTTTTAATCCTACCTTTGTAAAATAGGCTGGGGCTTGGCTGAAAGTAGACCCAGCATCAGGAGAAGAACCTGGCTATTTGGCCTCCCTGCTTTGCATGTTCTACTCTTGAAAGGCGTTAGCATATGAATATATAGTTAAGATCACCTATTTGTCATTATAATTTATCTCTATTTTTCCTTTGAAGCTTTGAAGTTCTTAGGCATTAGGGAGTTACATCATTAAATTTCTAAATTTCGCATGTATTCATGAGGATTACACATACAGTGGTGGTGCCACTTGTAACATGTCCAGAAAGCTTTTGTAAAGATTCTAGGACATTTAGGGCATTGTGAACATCCTTTGGCTGAAATTAAATTACAGATAGGCTTTAAGCATTATCTTTTTTTACATTGGAACCTTTTAATAAATACCTGTTGGTTGTTTATAGAGAACTCTGAACAGAGATGATCAAAAGGCTATTTGGTTGTCATACTATGTAAATTCTGGTAAATGCTATAAACTTACACATAATGATGCCTGCCTTAAGAGGTTTGGAATTTATTCCTTTACATGTACAAATTTTAAAATTTCATTTTCTTCATACGACAAACTTTGAAAGATTTCAGTTACAATTTTTTGCTCTAATATATCTTGTCAGAAACAAAATAGGCTGATGAAACATAAAATCTGTTACCAGAGCAACAAAGGTAAAAACGTGTAATAGCCTGACTAATATTTAGTAGGACCTTTAAATAATGTTCCTTGACAGCCAAGACAGTGATAGCAATTCAGTTCTGAAGCTGAAAGAAAAGGTAGAAATACTGAGGAGAGATTCCATGGCTTAGGGCCTAATGATTTCATGTGCTCCCCAGTGTATTTCATCTGTCCTCACATTTTGCTGTACCACATTTCACTGTTTTCCTTATTTGACTGAAGATAAATGTATTTTAGTTATTTCGGCATGTATCTCCATTTGATGTCTGAATTGATGAATGTGACAATTTATGTACCAGGGTTTATTGACTAAGTAGCCAGTTAGGTAGCGGTCTTTTGAGATAGCATCTTCAGGAACATTTAGTTCAAAAGTGACTGCCAAAAGTACCTGGAGTTAGAAACTTTTGGTTTAGACCTTTCTAATTTTGAACTGTGAATGAATTTAACTCCTCTAACTTGTGGGATGTTTTTTGTATGAATCACTGGAAATTAATTATGTTGAGTGTGAAATTATTTTGGGTATGGACTTGAGTTGATTTCTTTTACAGTTTTATTCCTATTAGGATCGCTTTCATCTTGGAAGAGTTTTGTAGTGAAAGAAATAGCATAGAAACTATGTTTTAGATATTTTATATATTTATTCGTCTTTTGCAAGATTTCAGTGTTTCTCACTAGTGGATTGGGCTACCCAAAAGATGAAAGCATATGAAAAAGTCAGAAGATTTTCCTCTGTTACGGGTACCTTAAATCTTGTTAGAACTTAATCTACTTCTGAATTTATTCTGACAGTTATTTTGCCTGTTAGGTTTCTTAAGAGATTAAAAACACCCTTTTGTAAGTGGAGAGGGTGTTGAATTTCAGGAAACCTTCAGATTTTTACATTATTAATTCCATTCTTCTTAATGCATTTAAAAAGCACATCTGGCTAAGGTAATTTGATTGTTCCAGTACAATGCAAATTGAGAAGCCAGTTTCCTGTACCCGAAGAACTTTCTTTGAATTGAACTTAGGTTATATATTCAGTCTTAATCATTTTAGATATTTTAGGTCTATCTTTATGATATATTGTATATTTAAATAGTAAAATTCCTTGAAGATAATAAGAATTGAGATCACATTACATGGATTATCTACATTAGTTATTTTTTAAAAAATAATGAAGAAATTGAAATGGATTAAGTTATATTAAAATAAAATCAAGATCTATATTTACATAAATTTTAATGACTCCTAAAGGTAGTACATATTTTTTCGTTAGTAACAAAAATGAGTCATGTTTATACATAGTTATTAATTATTATCAGTTATTTATGGGCCAAGACTATTGTGGTTATTCTTAATAATGTGGACCAGTAAGCTCTAAAGAAATTATTAATATGCTAAGTCATAGAGGTATTATTATATTATTTCCTTCATTTTTGCTTAAGGTCTAGCCCTTTATTAGTATATTTGAAATAAATATTTCTTAATTAAAATTCATTAAGAATCCAAAGATGTTAATTATTTTGAAGAAATAACCCTCTAGGTTATTAGTGTCATTTTCCTTAAAAAAAAGACGGTATTAAAAACCCTTAACCATTCCTGAAGTAGAATCACTACTTACAGGACATGTTATAGTACTGTCTATTGAAAAGTTTAGCAATTTGACTTTCTGAGATAAAAATCAGTTTACTTTTTCTCTATCAAATAAAATATTCCTATGAAAATCTGTTTCTGGGTATTGCTATACTTTTCAAAAGAATGTTGTGTTATGTATACTAGTTTTGGCTGACACAGATAGTTGCTTTTTGGTTTATCCTAAATATTTAGATCCTCTACAGATGAACTGATGTGTCTAGACAGGAAGTGGTATGTAGGAGATATAGGAATGGGCTGAAGTATCCTTTATATTTGCCTTTGTATCTAGGGGAGTTGGAAATAGGCAAGAATGGAGAGAAATTTTGTATGGCAGTACACAGAATTTTGCAAGTTTATTGTGAGCCCTGAAGCAATCCGATGCATTTTAGTTACTGGTAAGTTTGTTAAATTATGTTTGAAAATGTACCTCTTCGAAGATGGCCATCTATTTACTAATAAGTCCACCATGTCAAATATACCTATTTTAAAGATATTTTTGAAAAGATGTAGTATTGCTATTGCATTGGGTTTTAGGTATAAATTAAAAATACTTTTGTTAGTGAATGCATTTTACTTTTCAATTGTTGTCATAGTTAAAATTGAAGTAAAATTAACATTATATGGCTAGTCTTTGTTAATATTTTGGAATAGTAAAATTGATATTTCTGATTTTGTAAGGGAACTCCACCGTGTTTAGAAGTCTTAATTAATTCATTAGTTGTTTGAGAAAGAGTGTTCCTTTTGACGTAAAAGAATAAGAACATCTGTGGCATCTTTGTCATGTTGTATAGTTCCGTATAGGAGGGTGATTTATTGTAAGAAATACTTACTTTGCATTTTATTTCTTGGACCATAGGAACCATGGTGAGGCATTTCTAGTCTTTCTTTTTGGCAGTGCTGATGTTTAGGAATCTTAGTTGTTCTTTCCCACTAAATCACTAACTCAGGTATAGGTAAGAATTCCATGAACAGGTCAGGAAATTGTATAATCTCTATGCAATAGTTTTCTTCATTTTTTTTCAGACACTTACGCAGATCTATTATGTGTGCTAGTGCTTAGCAATTATTTGTGAAGTGGCTTTGACTATTGATTAAATTTATGTAAAATGGACTAGATTGCTTGTAGGTATTCTTAACAGAAACATTAAATAAATAAATAAATAAATAAATAAAATCCCAGGGGATTCCTTGCTATTTGTGTTCTTCTTACAAATATCTATCTTTGAATTTAGGACAAAGTACAAGAATATCAATGATTTGCAATACTAGTTTACTGTTTTCTTTTATGTGGTTTAAAGATAGAGGGCCAGTTAATGTAATTGAATTTTAATTTCTTGTAACTAAGTATTTTATTTAAAATATTTAATATATACTATCTAGCTTATATCAGGCTTTCCATTAAACTATCAATTTTTATAGTGATAATAATGATGCTAATTTTCTATTGACTTTTATGAGAATAATTCTGATTTGAACAAAAGTAGCCACATTATCAGAGAAATGTGGTTTTAATCCTATAGAAACCTGAAGAACTAGAGTAACTTCAGAAAATAGAATAACTTTAGTTCCTTTTGAGCCTTCAAATTTTCCTCATTACCAAATTTTCTTAATTTCATGTAGAAATGAGTAGTTGTGAATCTAAAATATATTTAGAAATTTATATGAATGTAAATATACAATTTGGGGTGTATTATAAACCAGGGTAAGTGGGTATTATTTTAATTATTGATAAAGTTTGGCTTGGAGTTATTTATTGTTATAAACTGCAACAAAGATGTACTATGAAGAGTATATATTTTCTTGATTAGGAATGCTGCCATGTATCAGTGCTGCTGGTTTGAAAATTGTGTAATTTTGTGAAGTAATACATTAACAAAGCTTAATGTAATGCAATCATTTCTTTTTCTTTTGTTTCTTCCTTCATTCCACAGACATACTGAGTACATTATCTTTGTCTGGCACATATCTTTTTGTGCTTTTATGTATTTGTGTATACATTGTGTAATCAGTTGTCACTTTTTATTTCAGTATGATGTAAATCATCTTATTTTCTTTGCTCTCATGAATTTTCCTGAGGGCATATATGGGACATAAGTAATATGTTGCATATTTCTCAGGATATTTTAATATATGTATACATATATATATATATATATATATATATATATATATATATATAAGTTGTTTTTGAAAAATAGGTCTAAATGAAAAGTTTATTTAAAAAAAAAGGTGACCAAAACAGTATTGTTAAAATATTTTAAATTTTCTAAGAGAGCATGGGCTTCGAAAGAATATTATGGTAGTATTTATTATGGAGAAGTATGTTTCTTATGTAAGATTTCCTTCAGGGAATATATATGTATAAAGATAAACTTAGATATTTTACCTTGGAATATAAAATAACTCCATAGTTATTTTTCCATATAATGTTTAATTTTAAAGAGATAAAACCTTATTTCATGCTTGTGAGAAATATTCTAAGATAACAGCAAAATAGATTAAAATTGAATATGATTGTTACCTTTTAGATTAATAAAATGGATCACTGTGTTTATGATCAATATTTGATGGTGACATAATGGAATTATCTGTACTTTACATGCAGTGCTACTCTTTTGGCATTCCTGGTTGAACTACTTAAAAGTTCAGTAGCCATGCAAGAACAGATGCTGGGTGGAAAAGGCTTTTTAGTCATTGGCTACTTACTTGAAAAGGTAAGTGAAATGTATTGATGGTTTTATACAGATGGGCCATTGACAAATCACTAATTATACTTTTTTCTGTAATTTCCCCTTTCCATTGACTGCAGAGGTCACATATTTGGTTAATTCACAAATATTTTTAAGTTTTGTACTTGAATGTATGTATAGACACTAAATTGGGTGTTAGAAATCTACATAATAAAGAAATATTGAGTAAAAATAGAAACTAAAGAAAAATTATTTCATCTGCTTTTCTTCAAATTTAGAAATGTTTCTCTTAATTATTTATTTCTAATTGATTCTTTGCTGTCTTTTGCGTTCAAACCAAATTTCTTACACATTTTATCAATTTTAGTTTAAGTGGATTTACTTTTTTCTTTTTGCTTTCTTTCTCAGTTTTAAGGTAATAAAAAAACAATATTTGGTAGCAACAGAAGCATTAGTTTTTGCTTTGTCTCTGATTTTAATATACTTGAACGTTTAAAGTAGCATTTTTTTCTAATCAATACATAGTGTAAACAGTGCAAAGTAGACCGCTGTAATTCTTCCTGTGTGTGTCATTTATGCCCTGCTTTTTTAATGACCTTTGCTTTAGTTACAACTATACTATGATGGCAGTGAGTGCTGAGTTTCTGGTAATGGTCTCACAAGAGTTTGATTGTATCATGTGATTTCCTTCAAACAGTAAAGTGATATTTCATAAATAAGTTTTTTTCTTTCCTTAAGAAATATCTACCACCATCATTAGTGCTCCCAAACCTCTTCTTATGAGTTAATCATTAACATTCATATGACATTCAGATGCTTTGTAAATGGAACTAACCAAGAAAATAATAAGAGGTGAGACCTGAGCTAAGAGAAATAAACTTATTTTTCTCTTGAGAAATAAAATTTAGAGGTCTTTTGGAAATACTTTTTAACCTCAGATTGATCTACATTTGAAATTCTTCTGTCTTTTCTTTGAAACAAGTACTTTTGTTGAAGGATAGAGGAATAATAAATTATAAAAGAGATCATAGGCAGCATTTTTTAGTCAGATAATTTTTTAAGTAAATTTATTAAGGTTTTCATTAAGTCTATTTAGTTATTTTTCATTGTAGAATACTCTTTTCCTATGAGTATTAAGAGTTGTTTACAAGACTTGTGTTAAATTATATTTTACATGAGTTAGATATTATGAAATACCTTTGTGACACTGCTGTATATGACATGATCACTATCAGGAACTACCTCTTAAATATACTTAATCGATTTACTGAGGGTTCATTAGCATAATTTTAAAGTGAGCATTCATTTGTATACTTAAAACTTAGCTTAAAATTAGAAATATTGTGAAAAGTCTTCAAATCAAATAGAAAGAACATTAGACTTAATAATAATAGCTCCATCATTTTAGAGTCCCTCAGCAGTGTATGAGGTTTCTAGTCTTTTCACAGCCTTGGAAGCCTTTGTTATTATCTGAGTTTTTTAGTATTCTAGCCATCATAGAGGATGTGAAATGTTTCATCGCTTTTGTATTTGCATTTCTGTGATGTCTAAATGATGTTGAGCATTTGTGTATTCTTTGAGAAATATTTGTTACAAAGACCATTTTTAAAAACTGGTATTTCTTTTTATTACTGAATTGCAGGAAATTTTTATTTTGTATGCTAATCCTTTATTAGATATATGATTTGCAAAGATAGTCTTCTATTCTGTGGATCACTTTATGTTTTAATGTACATTTCCTTGATTACAAATTAAGTTGAGCATTTTCACATGTTGTCCTTGAAGTTGTGCTCTTTTGCTAAATACCTATTCAAAGTATTTCCCCTTTGTCATTTGAATTGTTGGTCATTTTCTTATTGATTCATGGGAATTCTGTGTATATCTTGGATATGAGTCCTTATGGATATGCATCAATAATATCTCTTCCTCTGTGACTTGCGTTTTCACACTCTTAATCATCAAATGCTTTCTCTGCATTATTTGAGATAATTATGATTTTTCTACATTTTTTTCTTAGTTTACTGAGTTACATTAGTTGATTTTCAAAATTAAATATTCTTGTATTCCTGGAATCCTATGTAGTCATAGATCCATTCCCATTCTAATCCTTATGCTTCTCTTAAAATGGCTTATATCAATATCAAATCTTCATCCTATTTGACTTAATGATATTTTAGTTTAACATTCTTTCCTTCTTGAACTGCTTTGTTCAATTGCATTTTGTAACAACATTATTTCTTTGCTTTCTTCTTACCTCCTTGGCCTCCTTGAATTCTCTCCTAGTCCTTCCTCTTCCTAAACTTCAAAGCCTGTGGTGTCCTCGGGCTTAATCCTAGAAATCTTGTCACTTTCCTGTTTACACTTTGCTCTAATTAAGCTCAGGGTTCCCTTAGCTTTCCTTATACTGCAGATACTTAAATGTGTATCTCCAGCTACCAGCCTCTCCCTTGAATCCAATTCCACTTAGATGCTTAATAAGCGTCACAGATTTAAATTATCCAAACTGCTACCTTTGATTTTCCTTTCAAATCTTTTGTCCTTTACTCTTCTCTTTCTCAGTTAGCAGTATTCCCCTTCAACAAGTAGTTGAGATAAAAAATGTTCACTCTTTTTGACTCTTTTTTACACACAAAATTCCTTCTGGCAGCATATTGTGTTGTTTTAGTATCCAAACATAGAGTCAGTGACTAGTTGCTACTTATTAATACTACTCTGTTGGTCCTTTAATGGACCGGAACCTGGTGGTCCAAAGTCGATGATGAGAAAGTGAAAGAAGGAAAGAGGCTAATATTCCCTGGGTTACGCAGCCGGCTTTCACGTTCCAGGGAATCAGCCAGAAATAGAGAGAGAGAGAGAGAAAGAAAGACAGACACGGGGACCCAAGCTCTGATGGAGCAAAGGTGTTTTATTCAACATGGTGTGGGCATATATACGGGCTTACAAGGTAGTTTTTCTCAGCAAAGATAAAGATTGAAATTCCAGACTTACAAAACATAAGACAATCCATATTAAAGAGAGAGAGAGTTGTAAACAATCACTTTTACCATATGGTTGATAAGAAGGAAGAGGGTACTTATCATTGTATTGAAAAACTAACGAAGGAAATGCATGGATTCCTCAGCCTTGGGAAAGGATTGCCTCTCCTAATTCCTGAATATTCAGGAATAAATAAGGAACAGAGGATTCATGACAGATCCAAAACAGCGCACAGGAAGCCTCCTGTTAAATGCTTCCTGACATTACTTGTTTCTATGCCCATTTTTATTCACCCTGTCATCATCGTTCACCACTAGTTACCCACAGTCCATTTTTTGCTTGCAGTCAGATTAGTCTTTTGAAAATGTGCCAGGTCATTCTAGTCCATCCTTCTCAAAGTAAATTCATAAGTCTCTTACCGCTGACATATCCATTACTGTTGCAGGAAGGGGGCCCGAAACTGGGCTCTTATCTAACACTCAGAAATGAATTGTCCGAGGGGACAGGTGCTGACAAAAGCAAGAGATTTTATTGGAAAGGGAACCAAGGAGAACTGCTCTGTCACGTGGCTTGCAGTTTTATGGTGATAGGATTAGTTTCCGGGTTGTCTTTAGCCAATCATTCTGACTCAGAGTTTACCTGGTGGTGCATGCCTTGTTCAGCCAAGATGCTGCCAGAGAGAAGGCTTCTGGGAGGTGGTTGGACGGGTGGTGTCTCCTTTTGACCTTTCACGAACTCTTCTGGTTGGTAGAGGCTTATGCTCTGTTCCTCACCAGGACCTCCTGTCGTAAAACAACTCATGCAAATGGTTACTATGGTGCCTGGCCAGGGTGGGCAGTTTCAATGTGCTTCCCCTAGCATTACCACTCTCATTCTTTCTTTCTCTGTTGCATCTACACTGACCATACAAAGGCCTCTTTGCAGACCTTTCTCTTAAAAACTAAAATAGTAAGCATGAGCTCTTCACAGGACTTTTGCATTTTCTTTGCACATTGCTTTGGTAATTCTATAGATATCCACATGGCTTGATTCTACACTTCATTTATGATTTTGCTTATGACACTTTATCAGAGAAATCTTCCCTGATAACTCGGAATAGAATAGTACTCCTTTGCTAACCGTCAATGATTATTTCCCTGCTTAATTTTTATAGCACCAATCTGGCTTTTTTTTTTTTCAACTTTTTATTTCCTGCTTCCTTCTGCTGTATTTTTTGCCTCAGCTTCATGAAAACAGGGACAACAGTTTTCATACCTTATTGCTGTATCTTCTACCTAAAAGTATGTCTTCTTTTATATGTATTTGTTGAATTGAATTAAATAAATGAAAAGGGCTTATGTATTTATCTGATTACATAAATGAACTGTTGTCATTGTCCAGTCACTAAGTTGTGTCCAACTCTTTGTAACCCCATAGACTGCAGCACTCCAGGCTTCCCTGTCCTTTACTATCTCCCAGAGTTTGCTCAAATTCATGTCTATTGAATCAGTGACGCTATCTAAACATCTCATCCTCTGCCACCCTCTTCTCCTTTTGTGTTGTCTTTCCCAGCATCAGGGTAGAAGAATAAATAACTTTTTATTTTTTCTTACATTAATGTTCACCTGTTTTATTTTTAAATAATCATCTGTTAGGTGAATAGTGTAGATAATAAAGTTTCATTTTTATTTATCAACTAATAACAAGTTAATGGTTAACTGTCACTTAGCTTTATCTCCTTGTTTTGGAAGATGCAAGTTAATTATTAAAGAAAATAGTCTAATGAGAGGCCATCTTATTCATTATGTTTAGACTATTTCATGAAAAACTTTTAAGGTATTTTTGTTTTGTTTTATTACCAAAATATGAATTAAAAAAAAAACTTAGAGGCAATTTGATGTATTCAGTATTTTTGTTGTGGTTAATAAGAATTTTGTTAAATATCTTAAGCATTAAGGGAATATGCTTGCTAATATAACTGGAAGTCTAGTGATAGGTGGCTTATCAGTTGTCTTGTTAGGAAACAGATGGTGTGCTCAGACTTGATTATTGAAAGCATTTAAACAAGGCTCTTTAAAAGATTTCTGAGCATTGTTAAAGGAAGTCATCAAAATTTGAAGAGATGAGAGGAATGTATGTTTAAAACACAACTCAAATAGAAAGATATTTTAAGTATAGGAGAAGTATACCTGACTAGAGTGTGGCCTTTAATAAAGGAATATAATGTATTGACCTGAAGGGGTGAAGCCAGGGAGATGCTTGTCCCAGACTTCATTTTCTTCTTGTCCTTTAATTTCCTGCTGGAGTCTCCAACTAGCCAAACCCACTGGAAGCACAGAAATAGGATGGGGAAGGTTGGAAAATAGATCATTACAGCCAGCGAAACATATCCAGTAAGTTGGACTTCAGGGTTAGTTTGTCTTAAGTCTCAATTATGTATGTCATCAGAGACCAGGTTTTTCTCTCTCTCTCTACTGCTACCTACAGTTATGCTTTTGTACTGTAGCTATTATTCTTTGTGGTCGTAGAGTTGCTGGGCCAACTTGGTGCTATAAGCCTTCACATCTAAGTGAAGAGAGCTCTCTTCTCCCAATTACTGAAGAAGATCCTTCCCTCCAGTTTGACTGGTCAGCTTAGGTCTCAGTCTCCTTTGGACTTAACATTGTGAAAATTTTGATGCTGTCTCTCTTGACAACAACAATAATACACATAAATGGTAGACCTTAGTGTCCATAAGGAGCTCAATGGGTAATGAAGATCAACTGCTTTATGATACACTTCTAGTAGTTAAAATGATTTCCCACAATTTACAGTTTGCATGTATATATGTATATATATACACATATTTGTTTATATATATATGAGAGATAGAGGAGGTTCTTTAAAAACATTTCTAGCACTCCATTTCATTGTGGGCTGCTCTAAGTGTGGGGAAGACCTTTTTTTACTGCATAGCAATTTCTCTCTGTAACATTCATCACTCTTTTTTGGCTTAATTACTTTTGGAGTAGATATTATAATAAAATAGTTTTTTCTAGCTTCCCAGATTATGCTTCCAAATGTGTTTATTCACCCCTTATATAGCACTTCTTGCAAATTATGTATACAGTTACCACACAAAAGTAACATCATATAGTTTAAATTTCAGAGCTTGCATTTTACAGACTTATAACTATAAATTGTCTTGGAGTAGGAAATGACAACCCACTTCGTATTCTTGCCTTGAAAATTCCATGGACAGAGGATCCTGGTGGGATACAGTCCATGGGGTTACAAAGAGTCAGACATGACTGAGTGACTAAGGAACTAACTATAAATTATCCAAAAATCTCTTTTTAAAATAGCTTTCCTTGACAAAATGAAAGCAAATATCATAATTTAAAAATATTTTCAATCAATCTATCTTAGTGAAAATGTTAAAATTGGATATCCTTCTATTCTTTTCTGATCAATGTTTTGTCTTATCTGTTCTATTCTTACTTTGTTCTTGAATTTGACATGAATTCAGTTAAACATTTAGTGAAGAATTATGGCAGGTTCCAGACAGTTAAAAGATGAATAAGATAGTATCCTTTTTTAATATCAGGAAAGAAAGGTATGTAAATAACAGTTATCCAAGGTAGAAGGAATAAGTACTGCATACTTACAGGTAAAGGTCACATGCTATTGAAGAGAACTTTCATTTTATGCCTGGTAGGATTTTGTGTGGCCAATAAATAAAAAAGCACAATTGTAGAAAAATGTGTCCTGAAGATAAATTTTAGAATTAAAAAAAGCTACCCAACAGTATTAATTGCTATGCAGAACAACGTACTTTTTTTTTTTTTTAGTAATGTTAAAGGCCCTACCTGATGCTTCTAAGCGTATCTTTTAATTAGATGGAGAAGTTAAAAGCTTGTTTCCAGATTATGAATTAGTTCCTCAAATGAAAATGTTCATAATGGTCAATCTGATTTCATATCACTTAAGTGTTTTTATAAACACATGACAACTTTTATAGGCTAAAATCTGATCTCTAAGACAGGTTCTAACTATTGCTGTGTTATTTTAATTTTATTCCCTTATACATGATTAAAATAGTTTAGAATTTTAAAGTAGTATTATTTTTTGTATTAAAGTTTCTTTAAAATGAGTGACCATTCTGCTTTTTTGTATCTCAAATATTTGTTTATCTTTGTCTCACTCCCCCTTGCAATAACAATTGTCTTTTTAGGATTATTTCTTCCATCTTGCGAAGTTTTCATCTAAAGTTATGTTCTGAGGCTTGGTTTGAATTTTGTCAGACTGCTGCTGATCTCACTGTCCGTATTTTGTCACACAGCCTACTAATGCAAAATCATCGCTAGCTTGCGAGCCTTATACTTCAGATTAGTTAAATGTTACCTTCTCAGTGAAATCTCTTTAAACCACTCTTCCACACATTTTCCATCACTTCATGTTCTTTTTTCATACTTTTCATACACTTGTTATATTTACATGTTCTACCTTTTTAAGTTTATTGGATGTCCTTGTCTTCTCTTTTATTAGAATGTAAGTCTTTTATTTTTTCCAGTTTTGTGTTTTGTTAACTACTCTTCCCACAGTGCCAAGAAGCATACCTGACAAACATGCATATTTCCTGAATACTAAATGAAAAGCATGAGCTTGAATTTCTACTTTCTTTCTTTAGTCATCAAGAGTTCATATAACTAGAGCTGTCCTGGAGCAATTTTTATCGTTTGCAAAATACCTTGATGGTTTATCTCATGGAGCACCTTTGCTGAAGCAACTTTGTGATCACATTTTATTCAACCCAGCCATCTGGATACATACACCTGCAAAGGTATACTATTTAACTTCAGTTATTTTATTTTAATATTGTAAATTATAAATACATAGTTATTGGATCTAAACTATTGAGTAGAAAACGTTGAAATTTTTCAGTTTATAGTCAGTCTGAAGCAGTCATATCAGGCAGTAGTAAAGTCAAAAAGGTAAATACTCAAACATTAAACTAAGTGGAACTAGAGTTAAAAATTGTATTTTTTTAATGGGGCGATGAGACAGTTCTAGAACTAGATAGTGGTGATGGTTGCTAAAAATAATCAAAGGTGTATTTCTTACCCTATTAAAGGTGAAACCCACTTAGATTTAAGACCAAAATTTGAGAGGTAAAGCTATAAAGCTTATAGGAGAAATTGTTGAAAGGTATCTTTACAGTTTAATGATAGCCAAAATGTTCTTAATTAAGACCTTCCAAACCTCTCTTTTTAGGGGGTTAAGTAATGCATTTGATAATATCAAAATTATTTGTTATCATTTGTTATCATTTGTTAAATGATCTCCATAGATGATGTTAATAAATAAATGATAGATTAGGAGGTATTTTACAATGTCAAACTATCGGGATAAGAGGGAAACATTGAATATGAGCCCTGATTCAGATATTAGTATTGCATAAATGTTAAATTTACTGAGTGGAGGAATTGTATCATGTTCTATGTAGGAGAATGGCCTTATTCTTAGGAGATTCACACTGAAATATTTGGTGCTGAAGTGTCTGAATGCCAGCAATCTTCTTTCAAACATTTTATCGAAAAAAACAGTTTCATCAAAATATATTTATACATCTATATGTATAATATAATAGGAATAAAGGAAGCAGATGTGGAATAATATTAACAGTTGGTAAATCCTTTATGATAGTTACATAACTATTTTGTTTGAAAATTTTCAAAATAAGTTGGAGAAAATAGTGATTAATAACATTCAGAATGTAAAAGGAACTCTTGAAAAATCAATGCTAAAAAGGTTAAAAATTAGGCTTGATGTAATAAATGCATTCTGAAAAGTCATTAGATAATGACTTATAACCTTTCGAAGAAAGAAAATCTGGTATAATGATTGTTAAGATTCGGAAAAGAAAAAATACCAGATAACTATATCACAACAATTGTCATCATTGTGGCTGGAAAATTCCTTCTATTTGAGCATAGATATTTTTTATCATGATATCATGATATGTAAAAATATTTGTTTTAAAAGAAATTTATTCATAATTTTTTAGATATCAGCATAACATTTTTATTATTTTGCATACCTGAATTTAGTTCTCTTTTATTCTAGTAGGGACCTTTTCTAATAGGTCCCTTATTCAAGGGACCTTTTGAGCTGCCTTTTATAATTTTCAAGTCTCCCACATAACTGCAAAGTTCTATTTTCTTATGGTTTGTCATTTTAATTATTGTGGTAAAAGTCAAACCTGGTGTTTGTTCATTGTTTAAACAGGGTGATTAAACTTGTCATCTTTATACTTACATGTTAGATTCTGATACTGTGACAATAGGTTAAGAAAATTTGAAATTACATGAACTATTAGGGTCTATGACAACAATGTATAATTTTTCTAAATATGATATAGCTGACTGATATTATGTTCCTTTCAACTGCTACATTGTATTTTGATTAAGGGCTTTAGTCTAGCTGGCTTTTTAAATAATTTGATTTTCTTATCAGGGGTAATTTCAATAGAATTATTTAATTAATTAAAATTATTTTATTTTTAAGAGCTATTAGATTACCTTTAGTAAAATAAATTTTATTACAATGTGTTGATTGCAAATTATCTTTATAATATAAATAATACTTAATAAATAATTATTTTTAACCTCATAATAGATGATTCTTTCTTAGCCTTTATATAGATTTACACTTAAATTAGAATAGAATGTATATTTTTAATGTAGACACTTAAGGCATTTTAAATTTATTTTAATGCTTTGTTAATATTCTGTACTAGGTTCAGCTTTCCCTATACACTTATTTGTCTGCTGAATTTATTGGAACCGCTACCATTTATACTACCATACGCAGAGTAGGAACAGTATTACAGCTTATGCATACACTAAAATATTACTACTGGGTCATTAATCCTGCTGACAGTAGTGGCATTACACCCAAAGGTTTAGGTAAGTACAATATTTACCTATCTAAGTTGTGCATGGTGATGAAATTGGGAAAGAAATTCGATGAAGAAACATTGGGAAAACTTTGATTTGAGGGGGAAAAGGGAATTTATTAAGTTAATAGAAGTAGGGAACTTCCATATAAGATGTGATATTATAATTTATCAATGAATAATAATATATTGTAATTTTAAAAAAATAATTTTTCCCCCAAATCTGACATTAGTAAGCAATTTGAAATTGCCAAAATCTGAAACTTTATATTCTCTGTTGTTGAAACTATACAGAATTACTATGAATTTATATTATAATTGCAATATATATAACTTAAATTTTCCATAATATCACAACATAATTTCATTAAGCTTATTATTAAATAATAATAATTAGGGAGTTTTGTGTTTTTGTTTTTGTTTTTTATTTCTGTTTTATTCTAGATGGTCCCCGGCCATCACAAAAAGAAATTATATCACTGCGGGCATTCATGTTACTTTTCCTGAAACAGCTTATACTAAAGGTAAAACAGTTTTATATAATTCATAATTGCAGTATATTAAGTGAAAAGAATTTCTGCCAGAGTTTAAATCAATATTGTAAAATCAGTAATAACTACCTTCAATTCATGAATTACTTTCAGTATTCTATAAATCTTAGTATTAACTCTTGTTGAACTTTACTTTGCATTAAACTTTGTGTTAAATATTCTCTGAAAGCCTCCATACTGAGGGATGTAGCAAAAATGGATGAGGAACATGTGCGTGAAAATTGAGCTTGAAGATTTTATTATAGAAAATGATCTGTGTTTCTGTTTGAGAAGTCTTGTTATATATTTTGTAACAGTAGGATTTTTAAAAGATTAAAATACATAGAAAATAAAGGTAAAATACACAGTAATTGATATTGTAAAGTCTTACTATAATTTGTATTATTTTAAGAAAAGAATATGGGATTAGAAAATAGTGATTGAATATACTTAGATGAAAAAAATATAATAATTTTTGATAGTGAATTCAATCAAATATTAGCAATTTTAGACGAATAAATATATGTTTCTAAGTATTTACTTATTTAACTTGATTTGATATAGCCTATGAGTTATGAAGTATCTGAGTATTATAATTAAAGAATCATTACTTTTAAGTAGTTTATATTTTATTTTAAAATGATTAATTTGATGTATATCTTTAATTAAGGTTTTAATTTTAGATTTAAATTAAATATATATATATTTTAAATTAGGATCGAGGGGTCAAGGAAGATGAACTTCAGAGTATATTAAATTACCTCCTTACAATGCATGAGGTAGGATATGGTCTGGGTCTTGCATTTTAACAATTTTATTCAATGCATTAAAAAACATTTATAATTGAATAAGTATCAATGATCCTTATTATGCAGGATGAAAATATTCATGATGTGTTACAATTACTAGTGGCTTTAATGTCAGAACACCCAGCATCAATGATACCAGCGTTTGATCAAAGAAATGGAATAAGGTATGAATATAATATAAGTATCATTAGTAGAGTTTAATTGAGTATAGGCATGCTTCCCAGAATAATCCTATTCAATTAACTTTTGAGTATATATAGAAAAATCTTACACATAAAGGAATAGATGGAGAAAGCTGTCATTAATCCTCCTAATACCTAGGAAACTGATGAAATGTATAGAAAATGGGTCTCAAGTCTCAAAAAAAGAGTAATTATATTGTTGCTGTGGTAAAGACATCTCAAGTAGTTGAAAGAGCAAAATTTTTGACAGAAAGACGAGAGGGCATGGTATATTTCAGCTAAAGAGAGCTTTAGAAAATCCTATGAGCTTACACTCAAGAGGTAGAGAGTGACCAGGTTGAAGGGTCCATTTAATGGTAAGAACTTTAAATTTTTTCTGTTGGTGATGAAAACTAAAGAAGTTTGAACATAGAAATGATTTGTTGATATCTATTTTTCCAAGGAGCAATGTGGAATATGAGTTGGAAAGAGATAAAACTAGTAGCAAGACCAGTACAGAGATTATTTTATTCATAAGTATAAGGGATGATGAGCTAGGACAATGGCAGTGTGATGGGAAGATGGGGATGAAATGTTTTTGAATAAGAATTCAAAACCGAAGAATTTGAAAACTTGAGTTATGTTGATTGTAAAGTTATTGTGTGGATATGAGTAAAACAGTTTCTTAGTTAGTATGCTTAAGTACTTTAAACCTATAACCTAGCCTCTTAGGGATTCTCTCATTTTTCTGGAATCTGAGTTATTTGTATAAATAAGAAATCTAGGTTATGCCACATGTAACTCAGTGAGCTTTCACAGATTATAAAGAGAGTTTGGAAATAATACATTAATAACTGTCAAGAGACTATATTATTAGTGCTTCTTTTACTTGGTCATTTATATCAGCAAATAACAACTTTATAATCTTGAAGGATTTCCTTTTCAAGTTAAAGAAGCCATCACTTTTTTTCTATGTGAATATCCAGTTTGTGACATCACTCTTATCATTGAGTTTACAATCCATGGAGTTGCTAATCTATTTGAATAATAGGATTATACATTTCATTAGTAACAACTCCAAGTATATTTTACTGTGAGGTTGAACTCTATGAAATTGCTGAAACTTAAGTGATTTTACCAAATAATAGCAATTTCATATGGTACAATCATGTTTCTCATAGTTGATACCAGCTGAACATGTCACACTGTTTGTTACCAATATGTTAAAAATATCACAAAGATGAAAAATTTGCTGCTTTAGTTTTTCATTTTAAAAAGAATGTGGAGAATGTAGGTTCTGGTTTGAAACATGGAAAAAGTAGACATATTAGATATAAAATTTTAAAATCTGTACCCTAGAAAATAGGAACTAAAAGGTAACAGTTATGTATGGGGAAAATTTTGATTAATTGTAATTCATACATGCTAAGAAGTGAACACAAAGATTGCACTTAATACTGATAATATTAAACTGGGCTTAAAGAAAACCTTGTGGTAATACAACACTGAACTGAGCATCAAAAAATGTAATATTTTTGTATCTCAAAATCTTTAAAGAATAGACAGTTTCTTTTTTACATCATTTTCTGGCTGAATGTAATAGGCTAGAGCAAATTAACTAGAATTCACCTAACTATCCTATTATATTGTAAGTAAACAGTCATTAACTGAATCATTAGTAAATTTCATATTCATTCTTCGTATTATTTTTTAAATAACTGGTTATAAAAAAAATCCTATGTAGCATAGATGTCTGATGGCCTTAGATCTTTCATGTTTCAAATATTAAATCATAATTTCTGTTGATCTCAGGTGTATTTATACCTTTTTATCCCTTAAATTTATTCCTAAAGAATAGGTATTCTGTGGAGTTTCTGATTACATATTTGAGTAGAGTCACATTTTTATGCTGTGAGGTTTTACTTTTGTTTTCAAGATTATTTTTGCTATTGAGTGTTCTTTTTATGATTCCCTGAATATTTCTCTCTCTTTTTTTTTTTTGACATGTATAACTTTTCTATGGGCTTCCCAGTTGACTTAGTGGTAAAGAATCCACCTGCCAGTGCATCTGATGCAGGTTCGATCCCTGGGTCAGAAAGATCCCCTGAAGTAGGAAGTGGCAACTCACTCCAGTGTTCTTTTCTGGGAAATCTCATGGACAGAGGAACCTGGCAGGCTGCATACAGTCCATGGGGTCACAAAAGAGTTGGACACGACTTAGTGACTAAAACAACAATGATAAAATAATGTTTCTGTTCTCATACTTGTCTTTTTTACTGATATTGGTCCTTAATAATTCTGAAAGTATATTGCAGTGTAAATTTGCATTCATTTAAGAACTTGAATGGCAAGAACTGGAGTGGCAACCCACTCCAGTATTATTGCCTGGAGAATCCTATTGACAGATGAACCTGGCAGGCTACAGTCCATGTGGTCACAAAGAGTCAGACACAACTGAGTGACTAATGCTAATAACTTGAGGCTTTTCTAAAAAACTATCTTCTGAAGGAAGTAATCACTCTTCTCATCATCTGTTCTTCAGTAAAATAATAAGATAGTATTATCAACAATGTATTATTTGGTTTTTTAATAGTATAAGCTACTGTTAAACATAAAATAGATGTTATTAACTTTCAGTTATTTGTTTTTCTCTGTTACTGTCCCTGAAATGATAGGAAAATTATACTTTGCAAACAGTCAGGTCGGACAGAACTGAGCAACTAAGTATGCACACACCTTACAGAAAAAAATAATTATTTTTTGGAAAGAAAATGAGATAAAATTTCTGAAGTACATATAAATATTACTGAAGTGACTGTTAAGTTAGGTCATGTGTTAGTTTGTTGTAGAACACATTTGTGTAGGAACCAAGAATTGAAACTCTTTGAAGAAACAAGTTTGCTTTCTCTGCTGCTTCCTATATAGATGCTTTATTCTTTTGTGTATAGATTTACCTTTGTGAACAGAGCATGACTGTCCTACAGTTTCTGTTCTGAATCATTTCCTAATTTAAGAGCCCAACAAAGATTAGCTATTGTTTCTCAGAACTTATTCCAAATTTTCAGAAAAGAAAAATAATTGAGCAGGTATGTACTCCCATGGTCCAATTAGCCATAACCAGGAAAAAAAGGTCATTAAGTACAAATGTCAGGGGAAATTCTAATAGAAGAAATGTGGCTTAACTTAGCATGAATCTTAAAATTGAAAATTATATTTAGTGTGCTGGGAGGCATAACTTACGAACAACCAATTGCTTTGTCCTTTTGAGTATGTATTTGAAGTTCAAATATAAAGAAAACTAATATGCTAGTTTTCAACTTTTTTCAAAGAATTTAAAATTCTGAGATATTTTATGTTTTATACATTTATAATTTCCTTGTAAAGTATACAATGCTTATATTTTTAATATTCAAAAGTGCTCAAAAGATCATTTATTTCTATATATTTTAGGGTAATCTACAAATTATTGGCCTCTAAAAGTGAAAGTATTTGGGTTCAAGCTCTGAAGGTTCTGGGATATTTTCTGAAGCATTTAGGTCACAAGTAAGTTGATGTTCTCCATAATGAATTATAGAAATATCTGCTGAAATTGTGTTTTTACTGGTTTAGTAACACATAAATTTGATTGGAATGATGTTACAATGAAAAGTAATAACTTCTTGTTGTAAAAGGAAAAACATTTTATAAAAGAATGTTTTTTTAACAGTAGTTTATCACACTTAAGTAATTTACTTTATTCCTGTTGTATGCTGGAAAGAAAATATTGTTCTTTTAAGGATAACATAATACATTTCATCAAATAAAGGACATGGGAATATGATTTCAATGAAAGCTTTCTTGACACAGGCAAATATGTATATTGAGGTTTTGCTGATAGCTAAGTCAATATTTAATATCTGTTTGTATTATTTTCTAATTTTGAGGCTTATTGTGATTTGAAGATCCTACAGTATTCCTTTTTTCCCCAAAGTCCAAAGTTCAGATACTTTTAAAAATCATTTGCTGAGAAGAAAAAACACAAACAAAAATCACTTGCTGACATAATGAATGTTTTTCATACTATGTGGTCCTGTGCATGAATAGTCTTGTATAAATCCATTTTATATACAAATGAGCCCAAATACTGCCATTTAGTAATGATGGGTAGGGTTCCTCTCAGAATTTTTGAATTGCTAATTTTTTTTGGTATTTTGAATTGTGGAGAGTGATCAATAACACTAATGAAAATTTCACAGCATTCAGATAAAACATGTCTAACATGCTAAATAGTCTAGAAAAGTAAATATTATTTTCATTTTGGTACCAAATCAGTAGTTAAGAGAGAATAGTGATATTACAGATCTAGAGAGTAGTTCAACAAAGCCAGGATTGTAGAAAAGAGTAATGCGTACTTGAGGAACTGTAAGTTGACTAGGTGATAGAATACCAGGAGTGAGAGCATATTCAGTTTTAACTTAAAGAGATATGGCTCACTCATTTAACTTTGGTTAAGTATAGGAAATTGATTGGGAATAATTAATAAAGGCTTCTTCCCTATATGCAACCTCTTAAAAATTGTCAAGAAACACATTTTAAAACATAGAAATGCAGAAAAGATAAGCAGAACTAACCAGTACATGAAGAATAGTCACTGGAAAATATTGCCATGAAGTACACAATAAATATAGTTGAAAATTTTACCATAAGTTTAAAAAGTAAGAGAATTTCTTGTGAGAAAGGGAAGCTCCAAAGCAGAATTTCACGAAGTTAAAAGAAATGATGGAATAACTTTGAAATGTTGAATCATGAGCTAACAAAATTTTGAAACAAATTGGAAGGAAAAACTGTCAAACAAAAATGAAATTGGAAGATGCTCAAGGAAGACAAACTCTGTGAATAGCACAGTAAGATATACGGAAGATAAAAATGAAAACAAAGCAAATAATGTTCATGGATGAATATAAAAGAGTTCAGAAGGATTAAAGAGGAAATGATTGATACAGAAGGCATAGAAATTCCAGAAACATAAAAATGTCATAAATACAGTTTCCAAATAAGAAAAGCAGAACAATGTAACTAAACAAGTGTTTTTAAAGCTATAATTCAGTGAACTTCTAATATAGATCTTGCCATCCTTATTAAAAGGTATATGCTGTGTACCAGGGAAAATTTTTCTTGAAATGGTCTGTAGGAAATTATACTATTAGATTTAAATATAAATTTTTTTAAGTCCTTTTTTCAAATTCACAAGTTAAAGGGAAAAAAAAAATTACTCTGGGCTTAGGCTTCTCTATGACAACCATCAGTAGAAAATGTAAAGCAGTAACCATAAGGTACTCAAGTAAAGAAAATGGAAGCCAAAGTATCCTTTACATAAAAGTGTGCTACCAAACAATTTTTAACCGTGTAGGGAACTGTTTTTCTGAATAATTCTTGAACAAATTACTGGGGGTTAAGTTTAGCCAATTAAGACTGACTGGACAGACTGCAGCCAAGTACTATTGATGAACACTGAATTAATTTAATAGTAAAACTAAGACTAAAACAAATGTTTGAATTAGAGGTTAACAGACCGGAATTTCCTTTTTGTGTACCCTAATAAGGTAGAAATTGTACAGTTATAATGAACTGAGAAAGGACTAGGGAAAGGAAGAAAGTAGACAAAGTTCAGAGAGTCAAAGGATACCCATGTAAGCTAACAGTAGAAATGTAGGCCTATTGAATGAAATTTGATGCTTTAGGAGAAATGAAAATTTTAGTAAATATGCTGATTTTATCATTGCCTATCATTGGGAAATACATGAACTGCCTAAATACATAAAGAACTTATTCCTTTATAACAACAAAGATGAGCGGTTAAAACTACTGTAATGCTCATCAAGACTTCCCTGGTAGTCCAGTGGTTGAGACCCTGTGCTTCCAATGCAGGGGGCACAGGTTTGATCCCTAGTTGGGAAACTGAGATCCCAAATGCCATGCAGCCAAGAAAAAGAAAAGAAAAAATGAAAACAAGAAAACTGTAATGCTGTCAATATATTAAAAAATACTGTATAAATAAAACTGAGAACAATGCATATAATGGATGTTTCTAAAATTCAAGAAGCATAAAATGTGGCATATGCGTGCTAAGTCCTTTCAATCATGTCCAACTCTTTGTGACCCCGTGGACCATAGCCCACCAGGCGCCTCTGACCATGAGAGTCTCTAAGCAAGAATTAAGGTGTGGATTGCCATGCTATCTTCCAGGGGATCTTCCTGATCCAGGAATCGAATCCGCATATCTTAAAGTCTCTTGCATTGGTAGCATGTTCTTTACCACTAGTGCCACCTGGGAAACCCAAAACTATAATACATAAATACAAATGAAAAATTAAGGAATCATGATCTTATTATTGGGCAAGTTAGAATTCAAGCCAAAAAGCAATAAGCAATATAAACAAAGATACTTTATAATATTAAAAGTTGAAACTTTCATGAAACAGAAACTACAGAAGAAATAATCACTGATAATTTAAAAAATTGAAACAAACTCTATTTCACCCCAGTCCATAAAAAGGCAAAAGGGAGAGTAATGTAAATAATAACATAAATCTAATTAATATAGCTTGAAGTCGGTGCCATATTAATTAAGACTGTAACTCCCAAGTACTCATGGAACATGAATGAAAATTTGACATGGTGTGAAAGTGAAAGTATTAGTCTCTCAGTCATGTCCGACTCTTTGCCACCCCATCGACTGTAGTTGACCAGGCTTCTCTATCCATGCAATTCTCTAGGCAAGAATACTGGAGTGGGTTGCCATCCCTTTTCCAGGGATCTTCCCAACCCAAGAATCAAACCCGGGTCTCCTTCATTGCAGGCAGATTCTTTACCATCTGAGGCACCAGGGAGGCCAGACATGGTAGGGTGTAGTAGGCATCAAAGAAAAAATCCAAAACGGAGAGACAAAACAGTCAAGATTTTCTTGTTAAAATGCAACAAAATTGAAAATAGGAATAAAATAAAAAAAAAAAACAAAGTTTCTTTTTCTTAGACATTTAAAATTTATTAAACAACTTTTGTGTCAAAGAGAAAGTACACTAAAATTGCAGAATTTTTGGAAAACAACTTCAAAACCCCATTGAATACAGCTAAAGAAGTGCTTGGGAGAAGGAACTGGCAACCCACTCCAGTATTCTTGCCTGGAGAATCCTCTGAACAGAAGAACCTGGAGGGCTGCTGTCCATAGGGTCGCCCAGAGTTGTACATGACTAAAGCAACTTAGCATTCATGCATGCATTGGAAAAGGAAATGGCAACCCACTCCAGTGTTCTTGCCTGGAGAATCCTAGGGTCAAAGGAGCCTTGGTGGACTGCCGTCTATGAGGTCGCACAGAGTTGGACATGACTGAAGCAACTTAGCAGCAGCAGCAAAGAAGTGCTTAGAGGAATATCATAGCTATGGAACAACAGAAAAGAAATACAGAATAAAATAATTAAATTATAAATGTTAGATAAGGAATTACAATAAAGGGAAATAATAAATTAGAAAGTAGTAACTAAAGATTTAAAAGACAGATAATTAAAAAAAGACATAATCATTTAAAAATCTGATTTTAAAAAATTGTAATAAAAATGGCTAGCTAACCATTAAGCAACTGAAGAAAGGGAAAACATAATGAATGTACAAAATCAGTGATAATTTTCTTAAATAGTATAGAAACTGAGGAAGTTAAAAGAATCTTACATGATAAGCTTTCTCTAGAAATTGATAAGGCAACCCAGTAGAAAATAGGCAAGGATATATGTAAGTGAACAATTTATAGAGGCAAATACATGTGGCACATCAATATTTGAAAGGAGGTGAATTCTACCTCTAGTAGAATATATATATGTAATTCTACCTGTAGTAAGGGAAATATAATCTAAAACTAAGCACATTGTTCATGTAATAGCTGGATAGAAATCTCAAAATTCAGCATCCTTCTCTGTTAGCAAGGTCATGGGAAGAGCAAGCATCTTACACATTGCTAACTAGAGCATAAACTAGTATAACCCCATATGGAGTGCAGTTTATTTTTGTCGATGTCTGTCAAAATTACAAATACATGTACTTTTTAACCTAACAATTCATCAGTTACAGGCATGTGAAATGATAGCTATTTAGAGTTTTTCATTTTTTCTTTGTTTATAATAGTAAATGTTAGGAGAAATCTTAACTTTCTGTTAATGGGGGAATTTGTTAACAAATAAGTTATAGTTCATTTATTAAATGGAATACTGTGTAGTTATAAGACCAGTGAGATAAGTGTCAACATACAGATACAACAACAAAATTGTTAAAAGATTAAAAATAAATAGTTAAGATGGATATGCATTATTAATAGATGCTATTTTTGTTTAAAGAAGAGAACATGAGAACATAGTACTTATTATATTTGCAGTGAGAATGTCTAGTCAAATTCATAAGAAATAAATCAAGAACAGTGGTTCCTAATGGGGAGTTGGTAGAAACGAAGGTATATATAGATTATGTTAATATTTTAATCATATTAATGTTAGTTATAGAAACAATTTTTTCAGAAA